TTCGAATCCTTATTGACATAGGTCATCTTATTAGCTTTCTTGGCTAAATAAGGTGTTATGAGTTACGATATTCAGCGCATTGAACGTCGAGTGATTTTATGATTGGATACTCACGAGTGAGTTTCAGAGTTCGGCATTATGATGGCCGAACCACATTCACCATCAAGATATACATTACCTTTGAATACTTGTGTCCGTACAGTCTGGTGTCGATTCGACATGCTTATACTCTCACGAATATAATCACTGTGACCGAATCCAGCACCAACGATTTGTGAACTTCGCAGAACTAGCAGCCTTATCTTCAGGCTTGAGAATCCAAAGGCTGAGATTTGTTTCTTCCTCGGCTGCAATCCCAAGATAAAGAAGTTAGCAACGCACTTAACGCAACATCAACAAATTTTACTCCTTGATCGAGCTCAGCCGACGAGTTGGCACGCCCCGCATTCAACCGAATGACGTAGTTAGTTTATTAGTTACTCGGCATGCGCGCCACGTAGGCTTTGTAATTTTTAGGGTCAACATTTTGGCACGCCCAGTGGGACCCAATGCTGAAACTACGAAGTTTATATGATATATCAAGATTCCAATCCGGCTCCACGTAGCCGATTGTACGAGCTCCTAGAGGAATTGAAAAAACACAATGAGGAACGAAAAAGATCTTTGGAAGTGGAAAAAATTCTTCGTGGCCATACAAAGATGCAAAAGTCATTCGCTTACATGTTTAGAATAAAAGCTCCTGTTACCCTGCAAGAGCAATGGGTAAATGAAGACAAGGCTCGATTTAATACCTGGCTAGATGGAAAATATTTTCCTTACGTTTTCGACTACAAATCGATTCCATTTAAGGAATGGTTGGTTGAAAAGACCGGAGGGCAATTTTTCGCTCCGGCCGTAATCAGACATCGACCTAAGAAAATTGTTATTTTGGCCGAAAAACAAAGGCCACCTATTTTTTCAGTTTAGACTGAAAATATGGTCGGCCAAGAAGAAAAACCTAGGCCACCTATTTTTTCGGTCGAGTTTGAAAGTGTGGTAGGCCTAGAAGAAAATGTTTAAGTTTCTGAGCAAAAAATTGATTTAGAAAATAATTCGTCAGAAAAGTGTTCGAATGACGAACAAGACCAATTCATGGTTTCAGTTGAACAAACCACGTTAATCGATATGATTATTGGTGATACAGTCGATATGGAGAAATCCCGTTCGGCTAAGTTGTTCGAGTTGAAAGTCGAAATTGATGAAGTAATTATGTCTAGGAGGCATAATAATTGTTCAACACATTCGGCGGCCAAAAATGAAAAATATTTCACCAAGGCAAAAATATTTGGAGAAAATTCTTTGTTTGGCCTAAAGCGAAATCAAATTGAGAATTTTGATACAAAAAGTTCTCGACTTGGGATAAAGCATCGTTGGCCTCCTCCTTTTCATGGATTGGCCACTTTTATTCCTGTATGTTAGATTTCCATTTTCTTTTTATATATTCTTATCCATCTGGCTTTTTGAGCCGATGTTGCATAAGAAAATAGAGAGGCAACAAGTATCTAATTTCGTACCTCGTAAAAATAAAAAATAAAATAAATAAAATAAAAAAAGAGAAGAAGCATTTTGCCAAAGGAATGGAAGCATTTGGCCAAAGGAGTAAAAAATGTCATTCGACTTTTGGCCGAAGGAATGGAAGCTGTTGGCCGAAGGTGTCAAAAAAAAAAAAAAACAAAACACAAAAGAGGCCGAGGATATTAACCCATTTAGCCGGCTCAAAAGGAATGATTTTGGCCACAGGAACAAAAATCACATGCGTTGCTGACATTGGATATATATTAGCATCACATCAATTAGGCTACCTATTTAGTCATGATTGCTGACAATGGGTTGTGTGTGTCTATATATATATATATATATATATATATATGCATGTATGTATGTATGTATTTAGTCATGATTGCTGACAATGGGTTGTGTGTGTGTGTGTGTATGCATGGCCGAGGAACGAGCTGTCAAGGAAGATTTTTCCCTCTGCCCTTTACCCCCAACTTTTCTTGACCTGTATCATACATGTCGAGCTTGGCGAATTGGTGCTCGGTACATGTTATATATATATATATATATATATATATATATATATATATATATATAGGCATGACCGACAAATTATATTAGGTAATTAGGTTACCTATATATCTCGGCCCTCGACGGCGTTCGGTTTTCCTCAGTCCAAATTTTTTTGAGATGGTCGAAGAGGTTATTAAAGTGGCCGAGCCTTGTATAGAATTGTGGTAGCCGAGGAAGACCATAGCGTTGACAGTACAGAGATGTTGTTACCGAGTAAAAAGTTTCATTATCGGCGATACGAGAGTTCTTCGACTGTGCTAATTTCCTTAACCATTCGGCATACAAGCCCAAGTTCAAGGAAATTGGGGGGCAATGTTTGGACCCAAATTTACACCATCGGCCTGTGCAATCAAGGTCATTTAGTGAGCATAACTCTCAACCGTCGGATGAAAAGTGAAGATAATTTTGTTATTATTGAAAGATAATATTATGATTTTTATCATAATAATTATCATTTAACAAATTATCTTGATATTTTCTTATACGGGATAATAAGATACAAAGTAAGTTTCCGAGCAAGCAGTACAATTCAAATGGACTTGGGACTCCTATTATCAGATTGAGCAACAACATGGTGATGGTGCATTAAGATGAGGTTTGAATAATCAAGATGCATGGTTTTTGGGATAATGTTGAAGTCAAGATAAAAATGCAAATTGGAATGTCATTGGTACATGAAATTTGGATGATAGAGATCCACGACATTTAAATATTATAACCAATCTTTGGATTAGATTGGTGTTCTGCAAAGATGAAAGGAGCACACAACATTGACCCGAGGAATCTTGACTTTGAGCGATATTATCAAAAAGGTTCTTTATCACAATATCTGGATGCTAAGAGTTAGAATGGAACTGGAATACTTTATTTCAATGGCTGAGCATTACAAAATCTATAAATAGAGGCAGTGGCAACGACAAAAAGAACCTCCAATTCAACACACAACTGCCCTGCGCAAAACCTCTCAAACATCTTGAGATTTTTTATTCTTTTTCCCGCCGACACATCTTCAGTTTGGATAAATAGCATTGTGAAGGCAACCGGCGAACATCTTCAGTTTGAATAAACAGCATTGTTGCCATAGAATCAGCCGACCGATGAGCACCTTCAGTTTGGATAAACAGTACTGCGTCGAGGCCAACTGGTTACCAATCCAAGTCTCGGTCGAGAAGGGTTTCCGAATCCTTATTGGCAGAGGTCATCTTATTAGCCTTCTAGGCGAAATAAGGTGTTACAAATTACAACATTTGGCGCATTGAACGCCGAGTGATTTTATGATTGAATACTTACAAGTGAGTTTCAAAGTTCGGCATTCTGACGGCCGAACCACATTTACCGTCAAGACATACATCACCTTTGAATACTTGTGTATGTACAGTCTGGTGTCGATTCGACGTGCTTATACTCTCACGAATATAATCACTGTGACTGAATCCAGCGCCGACGATTTGTGAACTTCGCAAAACTAGCAGCCTTGTCTTCAAGCTCGAGAATCCAAAGGCCGAGATTTGTTCCTTCCTCGGCCGCAGCCGCAAGATAAATAAGTCAGCAACGCACTCAACGCAACATCAACAAGTTTTACTCCTCGGCCGACGAGTTGGCACGCCCCGCATTCAACCGAAGGATGTAGTTAGCTTATTAGTTACTCGGCCTGCGCGCCACGTAGGTTTTGTAATTTTTAGGGTCAACAATACCCATATAAGTTTAAAAAATGGATTAAAGAAAAGATTGAATGAATTTTATATAAAAAAATGGGTACATTTTATATTAAAAAATAGTACATTTTACATATAACAAATTAGTATATTTAAGAATGGGTACATTTAAGATTAGAAAAAAATTGAAGAATTATATGAATGGGTACATATAAGATTAAAAAAATTAAATTTTTTCTTTTATAAAAATTAATTGGTGCAAACTTATTCTAATTTTATTTTTTATATTTTGGAAATTTTTTGAATTGAAAATTAATTAGGAGTTTAATAAGGGTGTGAGTATTAAAACCCTAAATCAATTATTAATTTTTATTTTAAAAAATTATGTAACTGACATGTAACTCATTAATATATTAATGCTAGGGACTTTGATCAAAATCTAAAAACTAATAAGGTTTTAGTCAATAAACATTAGAAACTAAGGACCGGATACTAATTTTTCTTAAAAAGAAAGAGAAAAAAAAAAAAGGTAAATGGTGTTGAATATTCAAGAGCAAATGTGAGAGGAGCACGTGCTACTATATATCTTGACTAGTTGAAGTTCGTATTGCATAAAAACTAATAAGGTTTTAGTCAATAAACATTAGAAACTAAGGACCGGATACTAATTTTTCTTAAAAAGAAAGAGAATAAAAAAAAGGCAAATGGCGTTGAATATTCAAGCGCAAGTGTGAGAGGAGCATGTGCTACTATATATCTTGACTAGTTGAAGTTCGTGTTGCATAAAAATAAAATTTGAAAAAGAAAAGTTCACACGACCACGGCGGGAGAATATAAATCTCCACGTTTTAGTTTGACCGATAAAAGCAAATGTAGTCGTATATACATTGCACCCCACAAATAAATGTGAGAAAAAGAGATTTCGTCGAAATATACAGTGGAGGCGAAACTTGTCCTTCACAATATTTCAAATCATTTGTGTCTGTTCTTTTGACTATTTCGTACAAAGCCAAAGCCAGCCGGCATGCGCAGGTACGTGTCTATAAATGGACTTGGGAGTCTTGACAATCTTAGGCCTTGCCATTGTTTATAAGCTTATAGCAGCAGCCTAAGCAGAAGGAGAAGCAGCAGCAGCAGCAGCTAAAAGTGTTTACTCCTACGATATCGCCTCGGCCTCGGAAATAGGCCAAGTGATTGACTGCGTGAGCGTGCCACTAATTTAGGCCCGAACAGAGAGTTTTAATCATTTCCTGATCAACTTCGAAAGAGAAAAATGGTTAGAGCTCCTTGCTGTGCGAAGATGGGGTTGAAGAAAGGGATTTGGACTCCAGAAGAAGATCACATACTTGTCACTTACATTGAGCAGCATGGCCATGGAAACTGGAGAGCTCTCCCAAAACTAGCTGGTAATTACTGATTAAACTTTGCTTAATTAACTATTTATCCACTAATTTAAACAAGAAATTGTTTCTTGGGTTCCAAAGTTCATTGAACATTTGGGAGATGAATTGCATATACTAGAAAGTTTTGAGCTTTTGATTGACCTTGGTGTTTCGCTTTTTCTAGGTTTGTCAAGGTGTGGAAAAAGTTGTAGACTCAGATGGACAAATTACTTGAGGCCAGATATCAAAAGAGGAAATTTTAGCAAGGAAGAAGAAGACGAAATCATCAACTTACATCAAATATTGGGAAATAGGTATGTAGTAGTTCCATTTTTCTGCGAATTTGCATTGCATGTTAACGCGAACAGTTAGATCGATAATTTCACGGTTCTCTGCCACAGTATACAGACCACATTAAGTTATTGGACGTATTCATTTTCAATAACGGCATGTTTACGCAATTATAACTCTTAGATCGATGACTTCCATCTTTTTCATCAGAATATAAATCATTGAAACGTGTTTGTATTGAATACGAATTCATACTCTTACAAACTATTTTTTATCCTTAAATTCTAAACGGAATCATATCATCTATACTATTAAGAGAATCCTTATTGTCAATTGCTTTTCTTTTTTTTCCTATTTTGCTGTCACTTTTGATATACACTATTGACAAAAGGAGGACAAAATAGTAAGTTTGTACCTTTTGACAAAATAACAATCATATCCTTATTTTACCCGTTTTTTTTTTATAGAAAATGACAATCATATACTTAGTTTTTCAATTTTAACTTCACTTTTGATACACAATATTTACATAAATAAGACAAAATAGTAATTATATAATATTAAAAAATAATATGCACTTATTAAAAAAAATTGTTCATACACATACAAAATGTGTGTTATCTGCTAGTAACAATTAAGAACATTGATGCATGTGGGGGCTAGGTGACAATCTAGTCCACTAGCTAGTGGAACAAGTGGGACTGAAAAAAGATTCCTTACATAACCTTCACATGCACTCCCTAAAAACCATAAACTAAAAATGAAAAACACGTTTTTCAAGCATTTAAAATACTACGCAACAATTTTTTTGCACTTTTGTATGGTGCGCACAATGATTCATGTGCCACAACAGAACAGATTTGATATCCCTTAATCTGACTTATCTGTTGTTTTTTCTTCAGATGGTCACAAATCGCAGCGAGATTGCCTGGTCGGACAGACAATGAAATAAAAAATGTATGGCACACCCATTTGAAAAAAAAGTTGAAATCGAACCAAACCGAACCAGACTCTAATCCATATTTCTACTCTATCAAAATGGAGCAAGAGCTAGACCCCGTTGCTGATTCTTCACATTGTGCAAAATCTGAGAGCTTGGATTGTCGGCCCGTTTCGCCGTCTCAATGTACTTCAAGTGGCACATCATCCGTCACGACCGGCGACAACTACAACAACAATAACTATGCATGCATGAAATTTGATGATTACCAAACAACTTTACCGGTGGCGGATGATAGTTTTTGGTCGGAAGTCTTGTCAGCTGGGAATTCTGATGAGATTGTGAATGAGTTTCAGGCATTTGGTGGTGATCCACGAGTGAATGTAGGACCTACTGATGGTGGTTTTAGTTTAGATATGTACAATGACAACAACATGGATTTTTGGTTTAATAATTTCCTGGGAGCTGAGGAAATTCCGGAATTGTTAGAATTTGATATGTCAATAAGGAAGGCTGTTTTATGATTTTGTTCATGTAGTTGTGAGTTGGCAAAAAGAAATTTATTTTTGTAGATGTCAATTTCTTTGTCCTTTTCAGATGGGAATCCATCGTATTCAACGCGGCAAAAATAATACAATTCTTGTTGAATTTTGCCGAATGATTTGTCAAACTTGCCCGAGTGAATTTACTTGTGGACAAAATTGTCTTCGTATCAGTATTCGATTGGCAACGCAATCATTTATTTATTACAGCTCAAATGAGCTTCAGATAGGCTGAGGATTTATGGCCAACCATCTAATCTCACATCGGATAATTAGAAGGCTTAGTGCACGAAATTGTGTTATTCTTCATTTGGTAATCCGTTTTATACTCTACAATGAAACTCCGATTCCTTCTTACAATTAAAATAGTGCACTCACGTCACCTAATATGTGTGGTTTATTTATTTATTTATTTAAGGGGTACAACTGGTGGCAAATCACGGTTATTCACCCCTTATGGGAGCCGAAAGAGTCACAGAGGTATTTCAGCCTCCCCTAACCATAAGTTTGGCCTCCACACCATCAGTAGGTTTTGAACCCAAGACCTCCAGCTTTTAGTTTTAAGAAAGTCTTGTAATCCGCCCTTCATCCATGTGCTAATCCTAACGACACACATGTTCCTGCATTTTAATATGTGTTGTTCACGTGTTAAACTTAAATGATCCCATACGTGAAAAGACGTCTTGATAGTATAAAACTCATCGAATAACTAAGAGACCTAATATATTCTTACAATAAGTTGAATTATTCTGTATTATCATTTGGATTCTGATATATGAGATAAGCTATATCTCAAACGCATTAGTCGACGGTATAGATCATAGAATATGGCATTTAAAATTATGGAATAAGGAAATTTTGGTGGAAATTTGCCAAGCTAATGTCGTACATGCATGGTTAATTAGGCGGCTGGGAAACTCCTTTCACGCATGCGATTGGTATTGGGTTTCAAGATTGGCATATGAAGCAGCGGATTACGTAGTGTCTCATTTTGGCACAGAGCAATCAATGATAAATTTATAGATGCTAATAAATAATAAATGTGAACAAATAACTTAACAGAGTATGACCAACGAAATAATATTAGACAAATAAACTGATGATCGAGGCTTGCGTACCGTAATATCCTTGAAACATATATTTCGCCCCTACTCATTACTTGTAGTTTTACAGACGTCTGCTTCACCAGGATTCAACAATTAAATCAGAATTCCAGTACCGAAAAACTTAATTTCTAGGGAATTTCTTTATGGTTCTCTCAATAAGAATGCTTTGGATTGTAGAAGGAGAATTGTGTTTTTCTATGTTCTAAATGTCACGTAGATGGATGTATATATAATAAGATTATGCATGTTCGCAACATGTATGAAAAAACGATGTATATATAATAGGATTATAGCCTGAGCCCCAAGGCCCATCTTTTGATAATTAATTATATAATAATTATCAATTAATTAGTACACCCCAAAACTTAAACCCAACGTTAAGCCCAATTTTATTCTCAATGGTCCATCACTCCAATCACTTGCTATAAAGAACAAAATCTTATAAAGTGAACAAATCTTTTTGTAGTGACCAATATAGGACAATGAAATTTTACTCAAAATTTTCAACAATAGTCTTGGTTGAAAGACCCCCATCTTCCTTTATGAGAATACTGAACAAGGATGGGCTCCCATGCCCACTAGTTAGCCTTTTCTTTTCTTTTTTTTTCTTTTTTAATTTCTGGAGGTTGTAAGGGATTATCATTATCTTGGTGTTCTTCCACGTCCTTGCCTATCTCCCTTATTTCCTCTTTTATGTTGTAGATGTTGATTGCAAATTTGCAATGACTGGCTGTCCTTGTTTTCTCGTGGATGCCGGCCTGGTAACGAAATAATTTCAGTTTTCAAAATAATAATTTCTACTAATTAATGAAATTCTCTTTGTCAATTAAAAGAAGATGAAAAGATAGTCTTTTATCACATAAAAAAAAATGATGGGCGATAATGTAATTTCATAAGTTTAAATTTTACTGTTTTTTATTGAAATCTCACATATAAGTGATGTTAAAATATCCCTATTATTTAAAAAAAAAAGATAAACCAAAAACGAAAACCTCACACTCCCGTTCTCTCTTTCTCTCTCTCTCCCTCCCTCTCCCCTTCTCATTTTCTAATGATTTTCCTGATATTTTAAACATCAAATAAAATACTACGTCGATATATGTAGTAATGTTCCTTTATCAAGCGATATGTACTTTTTTGAAAAATGATGTCATATTTCCAACTCATACCAAAATCACAAAAAATCAACCAAACCTCAAACCCATACGAAATAACTCCATCCAAACTAATATAACAATAATCAGTTCATTCATACTTGTATTATAACATGTGAAATACCGCTTAAATACTCGTTACTTAAAAAAAACCTATCATTCTAGACTACCAGTGGGTGAACAAAAGTATTCCCCACCAATTAATTAGGCCAAATTATCTTTTTCATGTTATAATAATCATATGCCTCTTTCTCTCACTATGGACTCCACTTAAGAGCATGGATTACCAAACCATAGATTTTCACATGAAATTTGGAGTTATCAGCAATCTAACCTATTTTATAATCCTTCCTTTGCAGGCGTGCATGAACTAAGAACAAAAAACAAATATGTGGCGAACACCTGCGCTTAGATTTGTGCATGTAATAGCTAAGTCTAGCACGAGCTTAAAGCAATATTTAATCCAGTTTTTTTCTCTCCCCTTTTTTTTGGGCAGAATATTAATCCTAAATAATCCCCAAATGATTTGCATGTCTCTGTGCTAACATCCACTCAATTAAACTATACATTCAGCAATGCAAATCTGAAGCTAATTTATCAACATTGCCACCCTCATGAACTACTACTAACACTAGTACTAGCAGTAAAAAAAAATTGACTTTGAAATGCTCAAGCTTGGTTGAGGGGACCGTATTAAAGGAGACCACACAATGGCTACCAATAGGCATCTCTAGTGCCCAATTTGTAGGAGGTTTTGATCGAACAAATCAATTACAATTTGATAAATTACACAAAACTACCTCAATTATGGGTCGAACCACAATCTTAGACCTCAATTTTTTTGAAAGAACTCACATCCCACCAACCATGATGAAAGTAAGAAGAGATTTGAGAAATCCTCCTCATGAAAGTCATTGCATCAATATAATTAAGAGAGTTTTAACGAAACACTCATGGTACTGTTCACTTTTAATGGAAATGACATTTTTACTCTAAAAAGTTACTCATGGTACTATTCACTTACAACATATTTTTGTTCTTTTGATTAAAATTCAAAGTTTTCAAGCTATTTTTATTAGTTTTCCTTATAATTAATCAAATGAGCATTCAACACACTAGAGTCTTTCCAAAACTTGACACCAACACCTAACCAAATTCTCCATTCCATACCTTTGCGCAACAAATCAATTCCATATAGAATTCCTTTCCAAATGTAGGAGCAGTTAGATCTCTCATGTAGTTTAGTATCCAAAATAAAGCTCCCTTGCAAATATTTCGGCTCATAGATTTTTGCCCAAAGACATCTATCCTTAGCCTGAATTATTAATCCAATTTTAACCAACAAAGCTTGATTCATCTTTGCCGTTTTCTTCATTACCACATCTCCAACACACTTAGTCTTCAAACAATGCGCCACTGGCATAAATAAGTTTTTTTTTTTTTTTCCGCTCAGAGTACCACCCCCTAACAACAAAAGAAATTTTATATTCAAACTGGAGATCACATACACTAACAGGAAGTTTAGTGGTTCATATAGCATAAACATGGGTGTAAGGACATTTGCACACCATTCTGACTAACTCCCCTAGATATCCCCATGAAATCATTAGAATGTCCTTTGCAAATGGCTTGTAGCTCAGTTGGTTAGAGTATTTGCCCTTACATCGAATGTTCCGTGTTCAAATCCCTCTCCTCATAATTAGATAAGTTTGATGTGAATTATTCTATCCTTTGTCAAAAAATTCTATTACAAAATCGACTTCGTACCTTCCATTCATCCTGTTCTGCCGTCGCATGTAACAAAAACGAGAGTAGATGGAAACCTAGTACTAAACTTTGGGCCCAAAAGAAAAGCCCAATCTGCAAACCTATTTGTTTCATTTGGTCCGAGATCAACAAGAAAACCAAAGCCCTGTTGCCTTATGGTTTGCGGAGAAGGTGAAACGTTGTCGTTTAGGCCGGAAGGAGCATAACCGCGTCAGTACTCCCATCTGCAGCGGAAGAAAAAGAAGTGTGCATATAATTAACAAACCGCAAACACCTCCTCCAAAATCTGGTCTCTCAATTCAATTTTTCCGGTTGGGGCTAGGGTTTTGATTCTTCATCTTCGACTGTACAAATTCGAACCAGATTTTTTGTGAGATTCGAGGCCAGCGAACATGGCGACTGCTTCAGGTTCCTTCTTCTTCTCCTTCGTTTGTCCCCAATCTATCGTGAATTTTACACTTTTTTTTACTTCAAATTTGATCAATCGTTTGAAAGTAACATTCTTTGGTGCTATTTTTGTTGAAATTGCTCGGTGTAAGATTTACGAATCGTATCATTACCTAATTTCGATCGGCGATTTGGGGTTTTGAGCTCGGTTGGTCCAAAACCAAATTTAGATTCGTATGTGGAGACTCAGGGTTTCTTCTGGACCTGGGTTGGAATTACGTGGTAAAATTTTGAAATTTAATGGGTTTTACCACTCATCACATTCGATTCTGTTGAATATATGAATTGGTCAAACAAATATATGTATTCGAAAGTAGGGATTACAGCGTAGATAAATGCTATGCTACTAAGTTTTTTACTTTGTTGTGAAAAGTTGATTTTTCCTTACTGTGATGGTGCAGTCCGTTGGCAAAACTGATAGATTTTCCTCTGCTACTCGTATATTGATGCATCTCGTGTGGTTGGTCTTGTAGGGTCATTCAAATCTAGGGAAGACCATCGTAAGCAAATAGAATTGGAAGAAGCGCGTAAAGCTGGGCTTGCACCAGCTGAACTGGACGAGGATGGAAAAGAGATTAATCCTCATATTCCCCAATATATGTCATCTGCTCCTTGGTATCTCAAACACGAGAGGCCTGTAAGTTGTTTGTTTTATTTCTAATAAGTTTTTAGTTTCAATAATGACACCCTTGTCGTATAAGTTCTGAATGTTGATACTTTTTATATTACTAAATCAGAGCTTGAAACATCAAAGGAAATGGAAATCAGATCCAAATTACACAACATCATGGTATGACAGAGGTGCAAAGATATTCCAGGCTGATAAATATAGAAAGGGTGCATGTGAGAAGTAAGCCTCTCTCTCCTCTCTTTCCAAGTGTTTCTTGCAAACCAAATTGTAGACAATTTCATGGAATTAAGACCCTAACTGAAGTTCATAAACGTCATTTGATTTTAAATTTCAATATATGTACTTGATTAATTGCACTTTGTCGTAAGTGGCATTGGGTCCTTCACTTACCTGTCAAATATAAGGCTTTTCTTTCCCTTCAGTATATCTCAAAGACTAGAGATTAATGTTTGAATGTCCATTCTTACAGCTGTGGTGCCAGTACACACGACTCAAAGTCATGCATGGATAGGCCCAGGAAAGTGGGAGCAAAGTGGACAAACACACACATTGCTCCTGATGAGAAGATAGAGACTTTTGAGCTTGACTATGATGGAAAGCGGGACCGCTGGAATGGATATGATGCAACGAGCTATGCTCTTGTAGTAGAGAGATATGAATCAAGAGATGAAGCTCGAAAGAAATTCTTAAAGGAACAGCAACTCAAGAAGTTAGAGGAGAAAAATAATAATCCAAATGGTGAGGACAAGGTTAGTGATGTGGATGAAGATGAAGACGAGGATGAGGATGATTTGAGGGTAGATGAAGCCAAGGTTGATGAGAGTAAACAAATGGACTTTGCAAAGGTTGAGAAGCGTGTACGTACAACTGGTGGTGGAAGCACAGGAACTGTCAGGTAAGAGTTTTAAACCAGTTTTTTTTAATTTCTATCTTGTGTTGAGGGGGCATTATTATCTCAATAACGATTTATTATTATTTTTAATTGCTTTTTCACTTGTGTGTTGGTCTCTATATATCACTCCTTACTGAGATATTTTTGTTTGCAGGAATTTGCGTATTCGTGAGGATACAGCGAAATATCTTTTGAACCTTGATGTCAACTCTGCACATTATGACCCCAAAACCCGTTCTATGCGTGAAGACCCTCTTCCAGATGCTGATCCGAATGAGAAGTTTTACGGGGGTGATAATCGATATAGAAATAGTGGTCAAGCCATGGAGTTCAAGGAGCTCAACATCCATGCTTGGGAAGCATTTGATAAGGGACAAGATATCCACATGCAAGCAGCGCCTTCCCAGGCCGAGTTGCTTTATAAGAATTATCAGGTGATCAAGGAGAATTTGAAGTCAAAAACAAAAGACACTGTTCTGGAAAAGTACGGCAATGCAGCTAATGAAGAAGAATTTCCTAGGGAGCTTCTACTGGGACAAAGTGAAAGGGAAGTTGAATATGATCGTGCTGGGAGAATCATCAAGGGCCAGGTAAACTATTTGCATCTACCATTTCTGTTCATCCTTTTTATTTCAGAACTTAAAACTTTGTATCTGCCTCATTATGGAACAGAAGGCCTTAATCAGCGTGTCAAAGACTCAATTATATAGACAGCTGATGAATATACTTTGCAATAATACAGGATATAGCACTTCCCAGAAGCAAGTATGAAGAAGATGTCTATGTTAATAACCACACCACTGTATGGGGTTCATGGTGGAAGGATCATCAATGGGGCTACAGGTGTTGTAAGCAGGTTACTCGCAATAGCTATTGCACGGGCGCTGCTGGAATTGAGGCTGCTGAGGCTGCAACTGATCTTATGAAGGCTAACATTGCGCGTAAAGAGGCCAATGGAGGTTAGTCTACCAGCTTTCCCCTTTCCTCGTGCGATTTTATTTTTAAATAGATAATATCTTTTATGTTGATATGTCATGTGTAAACCATTCTCCAGTACTGCCTTTGATTTGGTTGTTTTATTAACAATTTGTGTTCCCAACCTCGAAACAGATGTGCCTGCACCAGTGGAGGAGAAAAGGCCCGCTACTTGGGGAACTGATATCCCAGATGATTTGGTTTTGGATGAGAAATTACTTGCTGAAGCTCTTAAGAAGGTGAGAGTTTCTGAACTTAATTCAAGTTGAATTATTGAGCTGAAAAGATGACCTGTGTATGTATTTGTTGTTGAACTAGTTATCTAAATATTATACAATTTTGATTTCTACAGGAGGATCAAAGAAAGAAAGAAGAGAGAGACGAGAGAAAGCGCAAATATAATGTTAAATGGAACGATGATGTTACTGCTGAGGATATGGAAGCTTATAGGATGAAGAAAGTCCACCATGATGATCCAATGAAGGACTTTCTGAACTAAGTTGAGATGTGGCACATAATTCTGATGGAGCCCCATTCTCAAAACACTTTCGAGGCTGTCAACTCAATGCACTGGCATGCCTTCTGCAGTTCTGCAAGCCGATTTCTTGAATTTCTCCGGTTGTGGCAGAACACAGCTGACTCCGTCTTTGAATTTGTGCCCTCTCGAGTGTGATTACTGTAGAGCTATTACATGAGCTGCCTTATGGTTGAGCCATGAGATTGAAGGGGGCATGCCGATAAGCGGCTACTCATTTAAATTGCTGTTTACCTTGTACTCGAGTGTCATGTTAATGAGTTGTGTATGGCATTACGTTGAATTTACCTACATGTTATTGTTCTGATGCTCATCATTTAATAAATTGTTGAAACCAAAAATGCACTTGTTTAAAGCACGTTTAGAAGTGTTTTTAAAATAATTAAAAGTTTGTTTAGTGAAATTGATGTTAGGTTGTAAAAGAATTTCAAGTACTTTTTGAAAGAAGCACTACATATGTGATTCTTTCATGAAGTACTTAAAGTACTTTTTTAGTATCCACTTGGATTTTTACCAATGATTGGTTTCAGAAACATTTTTACGGAAAACGTTTTCAGTCATTTTGAAAACACTTCTAAAATAGCTCTTATTCTGTTACTTTCACATTTATGTATAAACTTGGAAAATTACATGTTTCCCTCCATGTTTCCCACTGAAAAAAGATGAGAGTTTAGTCAAATTGGTTAGATTATTAGGTTTCTCTATTTGCACTCAAAGTTCGAATCTTCTCTCGTTAAATAGATTTATTTAGAGTAGACTATCAGCTGTTTCAAAATTTTTGGTAACCATCCTATATCTTCCATTAGAATATTATATATATTAAAATTAAAAATGTTAGGATTCTTGCATACAAATATAGTCTTTCTGTATTTTTCATTATGCGATTAAATTCTTGCATACAATCAGACAAAAACTCTTAACTTTGCTCTTCCATAACAAAGAACGGAATATATCCCTTTGTGTCTCATTCCGTGATCAGGTGATAGAGTAGAAAAGCGGAATATATCACCGGGGACAGCCAATAATCTCCCCCTTCCAAGTCATGATTATGTAAAAGCTGTAAAAGCTTCATCTTATTCTTCCTCTTCTACCCACTCGCGTTTTTTTTTCCCTCATTGAAGCCAATAAATAAATATAACAGAAATTCATGCGAAACAAATTATTTTGCAGAATAATCACACTTAATTTACATCATGTATAGATTTCTTAATCTAATTAAAGAAGCAAAGCTTATGCTACAAATGATCACGTGCCAACTTCTCCTGAACCTCCATGTCCTTTCTAAATTTGGCTATGAACTCCTCAGCTCTTTCGTCAATCCCGTGCATCATTGGGGAAGCAAATCCCAATGACTCCCACATATCATCCGCCGTCGCAGGACATCCTCTCTCAGCCCCACTTTCAGCACCGGCAGCAGCAGTGGTAGCTTGCTTGCACTTAACTACCGGAGGCTCAGAACTACCCACCAGATCAGTCACAGCAGGCTCTTTAAAAAGCTTGTCAACGTAGACATGCGCAGCGCTACCACGGTTCTGAAGAAGTTGGCGCCGGTTGTAGCGAAAATGTAGGGCGAGACGCCCTTTGCGTTTAAAACGCAGCCGGAGAAACTTGTAGGGTTTCGGTCCAACAGAAGATAAAGCAAAAACAGAAGGAGAAGCAGAAGATGAAGCAGCAGCAGTAATTGCTTTGACACTGTTTTTTCGGGGTTTCGCGATGCCTTTAGGCTTGTGGAGTTTCCTCTGTAGTTTGGAGGTGAAGCTCTTCCAAGCCCTTCTGGCTGGTGGAAGCCTCAATCTCAAGCAAGACATGGATAACTAGGGTTTGCGAAGAGTTTGTGGAGAATTGCTTTTTTTATAAGCTGCTAGAGAGATTCTTTCTGCTTTTGGATTGTGGATTCGTTTTTGGACTAATTAAAGGTAGCTTACTTCTTACTCTACGCGTTTGACATGAAAGAAAAATCCAAAGAAGTAGGTGTCTTTTGGGGCAGGCAAAAAGCAGTTTTGATCCAGGCTTCAACTTATCCATGCATGCTGACCGTATTGAAAAGCTTACCTATATCCCAAGATCAGTCTAATAGGGTTGGAATGAGCTTAACCTAAACTTATAAGTGAACATTATGAGTTAGAATCGAATAATATTATCAATCAATTTTAATTTATGACACATTTACTTATCTGGAATAAGAATTATAATTACATCACGTTAAATGCGTTTACTAACATTTTGGATTGTAATTTTTCCCATTCATAGCATGCACTAGCACGGGCAAGGATAAAAAAAAAAAATTCATAAACCAATGATCCAATTGATTATTCCGACCAAGTAAAGGGGTAATTTTGAGCTAAGCCGCAAGTTAACCATAAAAATTAAGTATCAAATAAAGTGTTAACCATAAGAATTAAGCATCAAACTCGTTACCCTAATACTCTGGTGCTAGTGAGTTGTGAACTTGAAAGAATTTCTGTTCCACCTTTTGCTATTAGCATAAAGATCAAAGCTAATAACCAGCCTAGGCCCCATCTTAGTTTTCTAATTATGTCCTCATACGAAATATGATTGATACGGATGCCTTCATGTCCCCCTTTTTGTTGTCTCTTCTCTCAACTTGTAATTGCAATCACATGAAGCAAGTGCAGTACTGCAGTAGTACAAAATGCATCTACTTTTCTTTCTTTTTTCTGCAACTTTCGAAAATATTCCAAGGTCGCGTGGAATAAAAGGATGGCACCAACAAACACAAATTATTCCACTTCCTTCATAAAGAATGGACAAAACTCCCCAGAAGTGAATAACAAAACCCAGGGAAATTCTGACGCTGGAAGAACGAAAAAACGAAGATATTCCGAACAATAAAAACGCTACAACATCCATCAAGACGGTCGCAACTTATGCGAAGAACTAAATGAGGGCTTGAACTCCGAATTGCTGCATCTCTCTTACTTTCCAAATTGGATAAATAGCACCTTCACCAAGTTCTTCTGGATCTACCTGTTGCATTGCCCAGGCATAATACACCGTGTGGATAGTGTCCTGATAAACAATACGATTTCACAAAACATGAGTTTGTATGTATAAAACCTCAAATAAGCAATATAATGACACGATAGTACATATTTCCGTAGAGAACTGCGGTTTGAAAGGGGAATACAATACATTTGATATAATGTGTATAGGGGGTGTGTTATTTACCTTGCCACCATCAGTTACATCACCATTTCTATCTCGTACACAGTACACTTGCTGCGTTCGGAACTGTTAATTCATCGAAAATGGCTGTCACTGTCAAATTCTGCTAAACAAATGGAACTTGGAAAAACAAAATTGAAAATGCCTACCATTACAATAATAATGGGAGAATGTCCCATCATTTTGGTCTCTTTTATTTCCGCCTCAGAAATATGTAGAATCTGCGCACCACCAAAAAAATCATAAATTAGAATGCACCATCATTGAGTATGAGATCGATATTGTATGATCAATAATAGTAGACAAAATCAGTATAGAATGCAATGGTAATTCGCATGGAAACACTCATTTTAGGAAGAGGCACGCTTTCTACCTTGTGATCGAAAAAGATGCCATGGCTTTTAAAACCATCATGCTCAGCTTTACATCGCTCAATCACCTCCTTACTACAATACTTCTTCAATGTCTCAAGATCCCCCTGCATATAAAATGCACGTGTTATTCCATAAAGATGAGAAACTCAAATGGTACTCACAGGGGCATAATTGGAATCATGATACGTTGACAGCAAAACACGAACAAGAAAAACAAAGATGAGAGGCGAGGAGGGAGAAAGAGGGATGAAAAGGTAACACAGTTCCAGCACTAACCTTGATGTAAGCATTAAGCACAGGTTTAACAGCATCCTGAACTTCTGACAAAAAGTCTGGTAAAGAGAAAGATCTACCATCCAAGGATTACAATTAGAAAAAGAAACTAATAGTCATCCAAATACAAAATAAGTATGACAAGAAGCACCAGCAAATGAAAATATGATCATACGGATCTCGGCGACGTATCTCCTTGATTGATGCAGCGGTGTCTGTTTCTTGAAAAATAGTTTCGTTTAAACTGCCAAAGGAAGTAGGGTCAATTCAGGACTCAAATATTTTACAACTGGCTCCACCACTCATATATTTACAAGCTACCGTTTTAGGGAAAAACTCTCATTCTGTGGGGACAAACGGCAAAGTAAAGCCCGTTTTGTAAAAAAAAAAAAACAAACGGTAACTCACAGATAAAGAACAAACAAGAAGTAGAGAAAGTTTAGCAGCATACTCCTGAATTTTGTGAACGATTGGGCTATCGCTTGTATCCCAACGATCCCGTATGTCCTCAGCAATCTGCCAATTTCATCAAGGACATACAGCAACCTCAAGAGATTTAGTACATATAAAAAGGTTGTCAAACACAAGGCCAACAGAAATTAACTCGGTAGATTTTTATACAAAGGACAACATCCTTGACAACACTATAACATTAAAAAAAAGCAATACAAAATACAGCATAAATGTTATCCGTCCATAAACATTAAGCATAAACTAGATTTTTCACAGAACAGACACAACAATTGAATAACATACCTCCTGGGTTTTGTTTGTAACTGGTTTACGTATTTCATCAAGACGCTTGAATATAGGATAACCTTGCATCTGGGTAAGAGAGGAAAAAAAATGAAATAATTCATAGGGGAAAGGCAACTAGATATTAATTTTGTAATATTTAAGGAGCGGATAAAAAGTTAACCTTCATTCTGAAAGCCTCCCACTTTTTACTCCACCGAGATTGGGGTACAGCAACAAGGTCCGTTCTTGAACTAGTTTCAACTTTCGGGGTCGAAGAAGGATCAAACTCCAGGTGCTTTCTCTTAGTTGTAGTACCAGTTAACTCACCCTTTACAATGTCATATCCTTTTTTAGCCAAGTCCGTAACCTTTGCTTCCTTAACTCTAGAGAAGGCAGAGGAAAAATACGAGGAAGAAACACTTGACCTAAATTTTCCAAAAAATGTTTGTTCAGTACTACTAGACCCTGACTGCTGGTTTTTATATTCCCCAGATTGCTGGTGATTATGTTCCCCAGACGAGCCCTTCATTCCATCATCAGCAACATGCTCAGATTTTGCACCAGAAGGCCCTGAAGCTTCTTCTTTCTCAATTCCAAAAGTTCCTTTGACCTATATAGAACAACAGAGAAGTAGAAAACAATAAAGTTCAGCAGATGAAAGCATTTACAAGTACAGATGCAAGAGACAAAGAATAAAGCAGCAAGCAGACCTCCTCTGTGGCAGCCGAGATCTTCTCTTTTACATTGGCGGAAACCTGCAAACATAAATTCAATGATAAGTTGACAAAATAATCGTAGAAACAAATGCAAGTTTCTTATGGTAATAAACAACTTGATTACACAACAAACAACCTAACAGGATGGGGTGGATATCTTGTGCAAATTCAGCGCCATTGAGTACTCGAAATATTGAAGCACGTAAGATTTTAATTTATTTGAAATGATACCTTCTTTGCCGTTGCTTCTGCCTCGACCCAAGCACCATCCACCTGCTTGTATAGCTGCTCAGTTGTCTGCTTCGTTCTGCATTCGCCATTTCACCATCTCAGAGCCTCCACTTAGAAGTGCCCTTGACATACAAGGGTATGTCTCAGCCTATGAACTACAAGGACTAATTATGGCATACAGTGATTATATCAAACAATTACCTCACTTTGAAATCATCTTTAACCCCTTTGAGCTCTTCCGCTTTCTCTTTCAGCTCCTTCACAGACTGTTGAAATTCGGGATTCCTGCAAGCAGAGCATTGATGTTGAGCCAGATGTCCCAAAAATTCCTTATGAGAACTCAATAAAAGTTAAATGTTAACGGTTGCGGTTTGAATAACAACTTCACTGAGCAAAAGAGCGGCAAACAAAGCCAAAAACTAAGCCGATGGACTGCATTACCTTCCACATTCAAATATCTAGCTGTTACTGGTTTTTTAGTTCAAGAAACAAACTTCAAATATAAAGTTCAAATTTTTGTTGATTATAAACACAGGCTTAACAATTTGTTGCAAGTAAAACAATTTTGAGCCAACATTTAAACAAGAAAAACCAATTAAAATAGCAGATATTACACAGGCAAATGAGAGAGAGAGAGAGAGAGAGAGAGAGGTACTTAGTAGCTTCGCCTTTGACTTGCTTCGAAAACTCATTGAAGATACTGAATCGACGATTCCATAAAAAACCATTGGCCGAAATTAATCGACCTCTCGTGCCCGAAACCTATCTCATCAAATCCCCAACACCCAACCCACAAAAAAAAAAATTAAAATTAACCCAAAAAACTTCAGTCTTTGATTCATAACTTCTTCCTGTAGAATTTAGAACGAACCTGCTGTTGGGAGGTCAGATGAAGAAAGAGGGGTTCTCTGTAGAGGTGAAAATCTCGCACTAGCTTTCTGCCCGCCATTAAATTGGAGGCGAGTTAAAAAATTTCGAGCAGCGAAAAACCAACAGAACCCCAATGGCGTTTCGATTTTTGTTTTCTTTTTTTTGAGTTTTTTGCAGGGTGGGGTGTCTGAATTAGTAGACAGTGTCCCTGCGTGGGAAGGAAGAAAGGGACGAACAAAGAAGGAGATGAACGTGGATGTTACACTTCTCCAAACCAAACACGGCCTAGGGTTTCTGTTTCCGGGCAGATCCGGGAGATGAATGAGCCCAATACCAAAATATAAGCCCAATACTGTTGGGGCGGCCCATTACTTTCCATTTTGTTGCCAAATTGGCATTCTAAAAATCTATCTAATTATGCCCTCCAAACTTTTTATGAGGAGTTTTTGGAGTGCCAATAACTATCATAGTTTAAGTCATGCGAAAGGTGTGGAAGGTATGTGAGGTGTTTATGAAATAGTCGTTTGCAACTAGGAGACCGGTCGTCGTTGGATTGGAAAACGCTTCGTAAATCTCGTGCCTCTGATGGAAGATTGACGAATACCTAAAGATTTGGGACGTTACAAACACGTCGTAGTGGTGGAGAGCAGATGTTTTGGAATGTTTTGAGGTGTAGTGAGGAAGAGTGAAAAGAGATTTGTGATTTGGTTATGCAGCGTAAAACGAAAGAGAATATCGCTCTTAAGAATGAAGTATTCTACTAGTATTAACGTCCATACAAATAAAATCATAATGTAGTCAAGTTAATTAGAGCAGCATGCTCTAGTTCTACACTTATGTTTGAATTTTCATTAAAATAGAATATCGCTTGAAACATAAAGAGGGCGACAAGGGTTGCTTGCTAATGCTAATGACAAGCCTCATTGGCAGTAGAAAAGTGCTGGGCTTGAAGGGCAGCTGCTTTCTCAGACACCAAAGCTTGGATCAAAAGAGTCTTGACCTCCCAAGCTGTGTAAGGATACCCTTTTCTTGCATAAGAGTTCACCAGTGCTGCACTCGCCTGCTTCAGCAGCCTAGGGTAAACGTTCTCCTCGTCATTCCTGACCGTCGCTTCAAGCAATGTCAAATCGGATCTGTAACGCTCATATGCTCTTGATCCAAACATCTTTGACACTGTCGATGTTTGTGGGACCATCTTCGGCCACGCCTCCCTCCTGCTCCCCCAATACCTGTGCAAACAACAGAGAGGCTGAATTGAACTAATAGTAATAGGCCAGTAATTTTTTTGAATTTTCACTTTTGTTCTCATAGTTTCTTTACTTACATTTTCATCCTTTTAGTTCCAACTGGTTACCACCTTTACGCCACTCTGTAAGAATATCCTTCAAAACTAAGGACCGATCATTTCCACCTAATCCTCCTCATCAAACAATTCAAATCATTGAAATTTAATCCAACAGCTAAAGTTATTATAACTTTTAGAATGAACTCTATTTGTAGCCGTTGGATCAAATTTTAAAAATCCGAATTGTTTAATGAAGAGATTAGGTAGAAGAGATTCAGAAATGATCCATTTTCCAAAACTAAGACCAACTCCAATGGTGGGCTAAAAGCCAAATTACCTCCCAAAATTTCCCCCCAAACCCACTCCAACCCAAGGGGAAAATTTGGGCTAAATGCTAAATGCTAAACCAAGGCCAAATTTCCCCCAAAATTTAGCCCAGAAATCGGAGTGGACTCCACCCAATATTTATCGGAATTTAAATTTTTTTAGATTAAAATGTTAATAAAATTAATTTACAATAGTCTACATATTTATTTTAAAAAAAAAATTAATTTAACTAAAAAAATAGCCTAAATTCATTCTTTAATAATCCCGGGCTAAAATTTTAAACTAGAACGGTTGGAGCAGAAAAGTTGTTTCTGGGCTAAAAGCTAAATTTTCCGGGCTAAAATATTTGACTTTTAGCCCAACCATTGGAGATGGTCTAAGGACGTGAAATCCTTTTGCTTAGTAAATCTAAACAAAGCAGATGTCTGATTCAAGCACGTGCTTACTTTTGACGGAAATTCTCGCGGAATTGCCCTAAACGAGTATTGAGTAATGGTCCATTTTTCTGTTAAATTCCGATTATAGTTTTAATTAATTTTTAAAATTTTAATTTAGAAACCAAATATATTTAATGCTATTTCATAACCAATACTTCAATTTTCTATTTTTCAATGAAGGATTGGACTAAAACGAAAACATAATGAAACTACAAGGACCAATAAAAAAAATATAATCCAAAAAAAAAAACAGTGAAAATGTAGTTAAACCACGGACACCAATTGCAATTTAATCCCCAACACATCGATCCCAACTGAAGAAAGAGAAAAAAGAGAGAGGAGTTTAGAGAGAGGTTTGCTTACTGAGGAGTGCATCTTCCTGTTGTTCTTGTGAAGAGAAATCCTGGCCGTTGGTTTCTGGCCGTTGTTGTGGGAACAGAGCAGCCAACAAGTAGCAGAAGAAGAAGAAGAACGAGTTGACTCAGTTGAACTAAGATTTGCTTCATTTTTGGTGGTGGGGTTTCTGTCTGTCTTCTGTTCGGGATCTGAGTTTATGGAGCTTGACTCGGTTTCAAACTTGGTCTGTCTTTTTCGCTCCTCCTTTCGAGGTTTTTTTTTTTAATTTTTTTGGGACATGCAAGTACTCACCCAACACTTGTAGACTGGGCCATACATAGAGGGATGGTCCAATGGACTCCGCAAACCCAAGGCCCAAAATTGACTTCTTATAGTATGATGAATTAAGACACTAATTAATTTCACCTCTATTTTATTAATTTAACTAATTGTTTCCTTCATTCCCTACTTATCTCAATACACTAGTGTATCGGTGTACGACCCTTTTAGGTTTTAACTTGCGAGGCAGTAAGGTGATTAGTACTACTGCAATCACTTGTCAAATTAAAAACATTCTTTTAATTCTTCCAATCTACGACTATGTGGTTAGTCCTCGAGAAGGCTCACAAGTCATAGTGATATCTAGTCATGTGTCATACTACCCAGGCGAATATAGAATGGTTTAGAGAATCTATTCAGTTGGAATGCAATCCGATCTTTCTCTAACTCAATATTCTTAATCACATTATTAGGGTATGGATATTTATGTCAAACTCGTAATGTGATTTCCCTAAATGTATGTGATTCAACTAAGACGTATAAATACATGTTGTTTTAACTTGTACTCATGGTTCAGTGTTTTATGGAAGTTTGGTTACACGTGGAGGGTGATTGTCTTTGAGAAATACTAAAGAGACTCTCTTGTAGTGGAACTCTTCATAGACTCTTTCTCACTTCACAGTTTAACGTCAATTTATGTGCCAACATTATAAAATATTATGCCAAAAATACGAAGAGATAGATAGTCCATAAAAATTTCCACTTTTAAGAGAGTCTCTTTAACATTTTTCATTGTCTTTTGGTGCACGTGCTAAAAAGCTTTGGAATTGAGAGTGTTGGAACTTGATTGTGCTTTTCATTAATAACACAACAACAAAAGGGTGAACATATATATTCATTGGAGATTCTCTCCCCTCCAATTTATCTTTCCTCCCATCCCCTTCCTTTTCTTGTGTAAAGCATATGAGTATTGTTGAAGGATATGAGAGTTGTTTAAAAACATATTACATTATAGAATATGCACAGATGTATATTTGTCACACTTTTTCACTTAATTTGCTATATATATATATATATATATATATTTAAAGTCAATACTAAGTAGGTGGGTGTAGGTGGGTGTAGTGAAGCGAAAGAAAAAGTGTGCAGAAATTATCATATATAGATGATGATGGATCGAGACTGAGGAGGATATGGAACAATGTGGAACATGCAAGAAGAGTTGGGATAGAACCAAAGCTGATCAGAAACCATCAGGTGGAGTTCACGTTTTTCACCAGCACGCCTGCATGGCTTCACCTGAGAATTTACTTGAATTACCATGGTCCATGCATGCAAAACGGCTATAATTATTTCTCCTGTAAAACAGAACCAGGTTCTGGCAGTAAAAATTCGCTTCATATTAAACATGACAGCAATGGCGAGAGAGATAGAGTACCCACTTGGTTGCCACATATTGCAAACTAGCTTTTATTGCTCGGAATATTTTAGTATGAATAATACTTTGCATTTTTCTAGTGGATGAACCTTTTTTTTTATTTGCAAATAATGTATATTATGGTAATGATTTTATAATGGAAATTGTTCAATTTTTTAATCTTCGTCTAATGATCATCTCTACAAAAAAATCATTGAAAACAGAAATTGTACGGTCATCAAATTAAATGTATCAAATAAATAGACGGTTCATTGGTAATATGTTATTTGGTACATATATCATTGATTTATTTGATGCATTTGAATGACTTATCGATCTCCTTTATAAAAATGAATTATTCAAATGAAAGTTTAAAAAAAAAAATCGATTATAAAATTTCTACAGTTAAAATACATTATTTATAAGGGTTGGAATGAGCTAATTCCAAAGAAAGAAAGACAAATATTATTCTTTCACTGTATATATGCACTGATGTATAATATAGAGTTATGGACTGATATTTTTTATCGTTATATCATTTATTGTTGATCCGTGGTCTTAACCGAGTATTTAATTATCTATATGTTGGTGCATGTCAGAATTTTCATACCTTCTCTTGTATTAGAACAGGTTCAAGTTAGTAAAAATTCACTTGAAAACAAGACAACAATGAGAGATAGTGCCAACTAGTTGCCACATATTTCAACAAACTTTGTTTCTTCTCAGAAGCCAAAAGCCACCTACCCTGCAACAAAAAATGAGGTGTAAACAATTCAAACCACCATAGCCATGCAAAGAGAAAAATGGCGAAAGATGCCTTACACACAAATGCATACGTGTCCCTCCCTCTCCTCCTCCTCCCCCTATAAATACTAACGCATCCTGCTCGCCGCTTCACCACATCCGAACTCAAAGCAGTCTCTCTCCTTCTGTAATATATATATCTATCCCCCATGGCTAAGCTTTTTGTTTTCTCTCTTTGCTTGCTTCTTATAATCAACAGCTCTCTAGGGTCCCACCAGCAGTTTCAGCAGCAGAATGAGTGCCAGTTCGACCAGCTCCAGTCCCGGGAGCCCGACAACCAGATTCAATCCGAGGCTGGTCTGACCGAGTCCTGGAACCCCAACGACCAGCAGTTCCAATGCGCCGGCGTTGCCATGGTTCGACGCACCATCCAACCCAACGGCCTTCACTTGCCTTCCTTCCTCAACTCTCCGCAACTCATCTACATTGTTCAAGGTAATTTATTATTTAACACCTTGTTGTTATTTTTTAATTAATTAGTCAATCCATATATGCATGATCCATTCATGTTAGAGCGCTGCTGTTTGATTCACATTTACGCACAATACTTTAATTTGTGCTCTTACAGGTAGGGGTGTGTTGGGTGTGGCGTTCCCCGGCTGTCCTGAGACGTTCGAGGATTCTCAGGACCAGCAATTCCAGCACCAACAACAATTCCAGCCGTTCCAGCCCTCCCGACGACACGGAGGACAGGGACAACAACAACAGCAAAGCGAGGAGAACCAAGACCGCCACCAGAAGGTCCGACACATCAGAGAGGGTGACATCATCGCCTTGCCCGCCGGTGTCGCTTACTGGAGCTACAACAACGGCAACCAGGATCTCGTTGCTATCTCCCTCCTTGACTTCAGCAACGAGCAGAACCAGCTCGACCAACAGCCTAGGGTAATTTATATTAAGCAGTACAATTAATAAAAATTACGATTTTTTTTAATCTTGCATGCAAACGTTGCCCACATTGACTTGGAGATGTGTTTTGTGTGTTTCACGTGCACAGAGTTCGAATTTCATCATTTATTGGAGAAAATTTTATTTTTTAAGTTATTAATTTTTTAGCATACATATCTTATAATTTGTATAATAACATGATATACCACTCAAATGTACCGATCACACTAAAAAAATCTCTCTATTTATTGACTGGTTAATGACATGGCTTTATGTAATTTGTTGTTCTCTGTATATAAAGAGATTTTATCTAGCTGGCAACCCACAAGACGAGTTCAGCCAGCAACAAGGCCAACGGTATCAGCAGGGCCGCCAACAGCAACAGCAGGGCCGCCAACAGCAGCAGCAAGGCCAGGGTGGACAGCAAGAAAGGGGCCAACAAGGCCGGCGTGGACAGCAGCAACAGGGGGGCAACAGCAAAAACCTCTTTGCCGGCTTCGACACTCAGATGCTCGCTCAGGCTCTGAACGTCGACGAAGAGATCGTCAACAGGCTCCAGGGATTGAACGACGACAGGAACGAGATTGTCCAGGTGCAGGGCCAGCTCGACTTCGTCAGCCCATTCAGCCAGGGCGAGCAGGAAGGGAGACGCCAGATGGGAGGAGGAGACCGCGCCAACGGTTTGGAGGAGACATTCTGCAGCATGAGGCTCAAGGAGAACATCCGCGACCCTTCTCGCGCCGACTTCTACAGCCCTCAGGCTGGCCGCGTTTCCGTCGTCAACAGCGGCACCCTCCCCATCCTCAGCGCTCTCCGCCTCAGTGCCGAGCATGGCGTCCTTTATAACGTAAGTAATGTTAGAAGATGGTACACTAGATTTTTAATAAATAATTTACTACATATTCTTGAAAGAGGTTATGAATTTCGAAAACATAAAAATTGCTAATAACAGTATATAGAAAGAGAAAAAAGATTATATAAGGATAAATGTACTAATGAGAGGATAAATTATGTGCAGAATGCCATCTACAGTCCATACTGGAACCTCAACGCGAACGAACTTGTATACGTGATCAGAGGCAATGCTAGGGTTCAGGTGGTGAACGAGAACGGAGACGCCATCTTGGACGACCAGGTCAACGAGGGACAGGTGTTCTTGATTCCCCAGAACCACGCCGTCATGACCCAGGCAGGCAACCAGGGATTCGAGTACATTTCCTTCAGGACGAATGACTGGGCCCTCATTAACACCATGGCAGGGAGGACCGCCGTGTTGAGGGCGATACCGGAGGATGTGCTTCGCAATGCCTTCCAGATTGACCGCCAACAGGTCAGGGATCTCAAGAACAACAGGCAGGAGACCCGAGTGTTGAGCGCCAGCTCTTCTTCCTCACGCCGACCATGGTCGATCATGCCATGAATGTGATGAGATAACCTAAAATCTACCTAATGCGGCACGTAGTGTTTTGTTTTTTGGGGTTTTCTAGTAACAAATAAAGGTAGGTAGAGAGACCAGGAGAAATAACAGGCCTTATAAATGGCTGTATGTATTAGGGCTAAAAGGAGCGTGAGCTTAGCTTGTAATAAGTAAATAAATGCTACGTGGAGGCTTATGCATGTAATAATCTAGCTTATCTAAATAAATTTTCCTTCATGTGCATGGTTTCCGGTTTGTTTCTTCTTTCTCCTTTGATCATAAAATCAAAAGCATTAGCCAACTAAATATCTCACTTGTGGACATTTATAAACAGTACTTTATATATATTATAAATAAGAAGAAAAATATATTACTGATAAACTATATAGCAGTACTAAACTTACTAGTTGAGTAAATTACCAAGACAGGAATATATACATATATGTATGTTCCAACCTCCAACAATACAAAGTCAACGAACGCATCCCTTGATCATAAAATCAATCCATATATCATTTTTACATCTTACACATCTTTCTCAATTTGCGGTCATCAAAGTGAATAAATTAAAAAAGATTAAGGGTAAAAAATTAATAAGGGTGTAAAAATAAGCGTGAATATAGCACTATCTAAAATCAAAAGCTTTCAACGACTGATCTTTGACCATATATGCAAAGTCTGAGAACTTTGGATTTACAAAGTAGTGAATTCATCATTTTCATCAGGTAGGAATTCTGAACAAGTAAAAGATTGATATACATAACTCAAGAGCGGGGCCAGAATTTTATGTATGTACATGGGGGCGGTAGATAAACGAAGGAAAGAGAAGAAAAGAGATCCAATTTCAACTTTAACAATGTATGGAAAAGAACCAAACCCTTTGGTACTTAATTTGGTTTGTGTCTCTCTGGGTTTTGGTGCGTCGGGTACTAGGGTTAGAGAAAACTTTAATTTGACTAACAAAACTTACTTTAAATGACTAATATTAAGAGTAAATGTATGAAATTGAACAGTGAGTGGAGTTGGGAGGGGGGCCTAGAAAGTATAATATTTATTAGGAATACGAAATTGTTTGTTTCCTTGTGGAATTCAGGAACAATTCTTGTCTTGCTCAACACGGGGAGAGATTTTTCAGGGTTCCACTACTGACATAAGAGAGTTGTAAATTCTGATCAGTGTCCAAAATTTAAAGAGAAAAGAAGAAAAATAATTGTAATTCTGATTCTTATTTGATTGACTAAAAACAGAGGAGCACTACCTGATACTACGACAGCTACATAATAAAAGGACTGCATTTTGCATAACATATATTCTCCTTCCTGATTATTTAAAATGTATATATATATATATATATATATAAAGACTTCATTTTTTAAGCAAAAGAATACAATCTCGAAACTTAAAATTAGGATCCTAATCCTTATCCTACCATAAAACCTTACCAAAAATATCCCAACATAGAAATAAACGAATACTAAGTGGTCCAACAATTTTTTTTTTTTTTTTGAGTTGAGCAATAACGTTAATAAGTTAGATGTTAGATAGTCTCCGACGGGGTTTAAACTCATGCCATCATGTAAGGGCACGACATTTTTCTACCACTATTATAAAGGCCCACTTGCAGTGGTCCAACAATTAATTAAGATAATTTTGTCGCGTTTGTGGCGGGGAACCGCATCTCCTTCGTCCGGCGGTCTTTCATGGTCGAACCCTCACCATCTCTTTCATCTCGGTGAGCTCTTATCATTGGTGTTGGTTTGTCTTGATTCTGTCTTTTGGACGGATCAATGGTTGTTCCACTCTCTAATTTGTGCAAGCATTTGAGGCTTTTGGGTCATGAGTTGTTTCTATCCAAATCGAGTCATGTACTAGATTTCTCGGCTCGATTGGTGCATTGAAGGATCAAGTTTGGATCCGGTTTGGACGACAACGATCTAGTCTGCATGGATATAAATCATCAGTGGGAGGATCTTGTTGAGTAATGTTGCCTGTTAGTTTTTGCCTCTTTTTTTCAAGTCTTGTTTTGTAAGAACTCCAGAAACTGTCTTGTTTTGTATTAACTCCAGAAACTCAGTATAAGTATTGTTTCTCATGACGAGTTTAGTCATCTCGCTTCAGGTGAGTTGATAGTCTCGCTGTAGGCGAGTTTTGTTGTTTTGTGGTTAATTTGGTGGTTCACTAGAGTACCGGAGGTACTGGTTGATTTTGCTGGACACTCTAAAATTGTCATTTGGGATCATAAGGTGATTTGGAGCCGCAAAGTCCTGTTCAGCAAATACCATATAAAAATGAAAATGGTAGAGCAATAAAGAATGATCCAGGCTCAAACCAACAATGAAATTATGAAACTCAAATCTAGATCATGAGAAAGCCATTAAAATCATTCTTAAGAGAACCGGAAGTTCGGAAGCCGTGAATGATCATGAACAAAGGTTGCAGCTGCATGTTCTCGGAGGACAAGAATGCCGCCAATGAATCCCAACATTATCTACACCAAAGTTCGCTAAACAATCTGCCACCTAATTACCTTCATGATAAATATGAGAAACTTGAATGCGCATGGAAGGAAGAATAGTGCAATAGTTAGACCAATCAACCAATAAACGCCAACGGATAGATTTATTCGAAAGATAATGCACTGCCAAAGTAGAATCACACTGAATCTAAAGAGAATGCTAACCCTTCTCCGTAGTCATATTGACAACATGATTTTGCAACACTAGATACATTGGTTTCCATGAATGCTTCTGACTCTCTTAATTTTTTGTTACATCTGAGATTATTATGTTGTAGTTTCAAATCTTGTTTGCAAATACTCTTCTGCACCAGATGCATTGGTTTCTAACATGTTAGGTGTCATCATCTTCATTTGTATTAGAATCTTTTATTTTCCCCTTCATGGAATAAAATATGTTGTTTCTCTTTTGAAAAGAAAAAAAGTTGGCAACACACGGATTGATTATTAATTTGGAAATTCATTTTCACCATGCAATGAGATATATACACGTAGCCTGGGAGAACCTCATTAACGATTTGTCCCTCAAATTCCCACAGAAAAGATATGTGTGATCTGGCCTACATCAACTAATGCAGGTGAACTGGTGAGTTTCGGATCATGGACCAAGGAAGGAAGTCTACTGGACCCGCGGATCAGACACACTGAGGCCAAGCATGACCGAGAAACTTACTAAACATAACATGGCCTAATTATAAGGTAAGTTTCAACTGATGGAGGAATCATACCATCAATCTAGGGCTGGTCACAAGTTTAACGATTGACACAATTAGTGATCACAAATCATTGACTCTAAATTGCATCGTCTTTTACGTCTCTCCATTCAATGAGAAATTTTTTATTGTGACTGAAATACAGGTGGTACACTACGTGTTTTTACATAAGTGGTAGGAAATTTTATATTTCAAGTTATTAACTTTTTAACACACACATCCCACTATTTATATAGTGACATATGATATATCATTTTATGTATTAATCATACTAAAAAAATCTTTTTCATTCAAGCGGCTAGTGAATTTGGTGTACGGAATAAAGGTCACATCATGGCCGATAAACAAATGCCATGTGTCTCTCTTACGAGTTGCGATATGCTCAAGTTCATTATTACAAAGGAGATTTCACCCTCAATCACGAGAGCTAACTGTTCCTAACCAAGAAAAACTTAAACTCTTGAATTATGATACGTCTACTACTTAAGTCTAATTTAGACATCGAAGGACATGAATGTTTCTCACACCAGACCGGTTGTAACAATGACTCATTTTTTTTTTTTTCATTTCTTGGTTTTAGTGACACAACTGAGATTAGACTTAGGTGCCTGTACGTATATCCACTAGCAGAAAAAAGGGATAAGGCCATTGGTTTCTTGCCCACAATTCTAACAACTGTGACTCTCTTGCTCTGTAGCCATAGATAGCCTACGTATGCCTATATATGCGGCCACCAAAGAGGAAGGCATAGACAATCAGTGGTCATCTGAGGTCGGAGAGCTCAGTACAATCAGTGGACATTTTCACTTTCAGGGATATATCCAAGAAATACTTTGACAAACAGTACATTTTTTGAAAAAGCTTATGCCCATCCTATAAAGAACACGTAATTTGCGTGGACAAAATTATTATTGTTTCTTAATTAGAGTTATTGGTCAAGAGAATTATGGATATTCTCATTTCACACACTATGAATTGAAGGTTGTTAATTTGCAACAATCGAGCCAAAGCCATGTTTAGGGAAGGGAAAATTTCATTGATTATTACATGCATAAGGTTACACGTAGTACTTATTTACTTGTAGCTACACACTCTTTCCTTTTACATTAGTAGTTTAAAGCCCCATAAGGCCTTTTATTTATTTATTTATTTATTTATTTTCACTCTCTTCACTTCATAGCTCCAAAAAAACACTACGTGCCGCACTCACTACATTCTTCCCATTCATCCAACATACATTTACGCAACTGCCCTCCTCTGGAAAGACTGGCTGGAGCTCAAGGCAATGCTCTCCGCCCTGTTGTATTTGATCTGCTGGGCCTGCTGGCGCTCAATCTGGTAGGCGTTGGTGAGCACCTCCAGCGGCAGTGCACGGAGTAAGGAAGTCCGGCCAGCAAGAGTGCTGAGCATGGCGTTGTCGTTGGTCTTGAAGGCGATGTACTCGAATCCCTCGTTGCCGGCTTGCGAGATCACTCCGTGGTTCTGGGGAATTATGAACAATTGTCCCTCCTGCACTTGGTCGTCCAAGATCGGGTTGCCGTTCTCGTTCACGATCTGAACCCTAGCGCTTCCTCTGATCACGTAGACCACTGAGTGGGCGTTTATGTTCCAGTGTGGGGTGTAGATACCGTTCTGCATGACAAAAATCATCCCCATAAATCATTGTCACGTCTATATATAATTAATTAATTACTGAATTAGAACAAAATTGCTTGTGTTGCAAGGTGATCACATTGTTTTGCATCATTTCTTTAAAGAAAAATGAGTTCTGCAAGCCTTAATATTAATTTCTGAAATTGGAATAAAATTATTTGTATTGTCTCTGATTGATCATTTATATTTTGGGTAAGGGTACTATATATTAAGTAGATTAAATTTGTAAACTAAATATGCAAACTAAATAATGTATTATCAATAAAAATAAGCACGTTAATCAACACTGAAGTAATAATGTAATCATCAACTTCCATGTTACTTAGTTTACAAGGTTTAGTGTACAAATTTAGTCTACCTCTTTAGGGATAATAGAAACCACAATGGATTTTCGAGTAATGCTAGGAAGACTCAATTTGAAAATTAAATTTACAAACTAAATAATATGTCATCAATATAAATGAGCATGTCTATCAACGCTCTCCAAATTGAGTCTCCCTAGCATTACTCTTCCACTTTATACTAAAAGAAAATTGTTCAAATATCAATATTCCTTTAAATTAATAAAAAAATACTTTTTGTTCAAAAATAATAATTAATACTTCATAAAAAGGTATCTATGCATGTAAATTATTTTACTTACGCTGTAGAAGAAGCCTCTCTCGGCACTGAGTTGGACAGCACTGAGGATGGGGAGGTTGAGGCTGTTGAGGGTGCTGATACGACCTGCCTGAGGAGAGTAGACATCGGCGCGCTGAGGGTTGCCAATGTGCTCAATCAACCTCATGGAGCAGAAAGTCTCCTCGAGGCCGTTGGCCGCCACCAAACCCTGCTGTCCGCCTTGTTGCCTCCTCTCCTGCTCCACCTGGCGCTGCTCCCTCTCCTCGTGCTCGCGCTGCTGTCGGCCTCTAGGTGGTTGGAGGAAGTCGAGCTGGCCTCTGACTTGGATGATCTGGTTCCTGTTGTCGTTCTCTGATCCCTGGAGGCTCCTGGCGGTCTCTTCGTCGATATTGAGTGCCTGGGCGAGGAGTTGAGTATTCATACCGGAGAAGACGTTGTTGCTGCTTCCTTGTTGCTGCTGGCTGCGGCCCTGTTGTTGTTGGCGTCCTTGTTGTTGTTGTTGTCGTCGTCCTTGTTGTCCCTGCTGCCCAAATTGTTGCTGCTCTCTCTGGCCGCCCTGCCCGAATTGGCGTGGTTGGCGGTGTTGGCTCTGGCCTTGTTGCTCAAACTCATTCTCTGGGTTACCAGCGAGATAGAATTTCTACAATTTTTGAAATAAAAACAAGTTAGTTAACTAATTAAATTAACAATAAATAAGGTCGATCATGCATTTGCACTTCATAACAAAAATTAGACACGAATGAATTGTATGCGAGATACAACCTCCATTTTTATGTTTATTTAATTAAGTTAGGACGTAAATAATAACCAAGGGTTTTGGTTAAGCTGGAATTTGTTAAATAATAATTAATTCATTAGCTAGTGGCCCTCCGTAGCCCTCTACTACAGAAATGGAGAAGAATGTTACCTTTGCATCATAACCTAAGTTCAAACCGGTTAACTTTTTAATCTAACAAATATATCGTTTGACAAAAAAAAAAAAAAATAAGAATTGTTATTGGCACTCCAAACTTTCTATAAGATTTTTGAAGTGCTAATAATAGTTCCTAAAAAAATAATCAATTCATTAGGTAATTAAGCACGTTAATAGTACCCGAGGGTTTTGGTCTAGCTGGTTTTGGTCGTTGCTGACATCGAGGAGGCTGACTTTAACAAGCTCCTGGTCGCCGTCATTGTAGGTCCAGAAGGCGACCCCGGCGGGGATGACAATGACATCACCAGCCCTGATGCGGCGGACCTTCTGGTGGCGGTCTTGCTGCTCTTGCTGACCTTGCTGGCCTTGCTGGCCTTGTTGTTGCCGCCCTTGTTGGCCTTGTTGGTGGCGCCCTTGCTCCTGTTCCTGCTGGCCTCGCTGTCCTTGTTGTCCCTGTTGCTCTTGCCGACGTCTCTGCTGCTCTTCTTGTTGTTCCTGTTGTTCACGCTGCTCTTGGCCGCCTCTCTGGAATTGCTGCTGAGATTGGTCCTTATACTCCTCGAATGTTTCAGGGCACCCAGGGAAAGCAACTCCTAGAACACCACTACCTGCATGAACAATCATACATTAAATGTTTTAATATTTCTTTAATACAATGGTATATTTACATATTGGACAAAGTAAATATTTCAGGTAATTACAGAGTTTAGTAATTAATTAACATGTTGACTAATATAATTAGACATTGCCTTGGACGACGTAGATGAGTTGAGGGGCGTTGGAGTAGGCAGGCAAGTGAAGGCCGTTGCGCTCGATGGTGATTCTCTCAGCAGCGACACCAGCGCACTGGAAGTCATCGTCGTTGTGGTTCCATGTCTCGATCTGCCCGGCTTCCGCCCTAATGTTGTTGCTGGGTTCCCGAGCTTGGAGCTGGTTGAGCTGACACTCATTCTGTTTGCCCTGCTGCTGGGACTGCTGTCGTGCTGCTAAGCAGCCATTGAAAACAAGAAGCAAGCAAAGAGAAAACACCAAAGACTTCGTCATGGTAAAGAAAGCAGAGGGAGTGATCAGTGAAAGCTACTAAGTTGATAGTTGATATGTTGCTTTGAATTTGAGATGGTGGAAGTGGCGAGTAGAAGGCGTTGGTATTTATAGGGGGAGGAGGAGGAGGAGGAGGGACACGTATGCATATGTGGGTAAGGCATCATTCGACATTTTTCTCTTTGCATGGCTAAGTTGCTTTGAATTGCCTACACCTCATTTTTTGTTGCAGGGCAGGTGGCTCTTCACTTCAGAGAATATTACAAAAAATGAAGAGCTCAGAGCTGTGTTTGCATGCATGGTTCGCGTGTCCCCCTGATCTCAAGTTCTTGATATGTTTCTAGCTAGTAGTACTGTTTTGGGTTTTTTCAAATTATTTTTTATTAGATATATCTTTTCATGTTAGGGAATGGGAACCCTTGGATGCGTTTTTTGTTTTGTCTTTCTTGCATTTGTTCATAACTGATGGTGTATGTGCTAGCTACGGTAACATGTGAAGTTCATCCATATGTGGCAGAAGGTGATTGTGCTTTATTGTCTTTATCAGAAATGAAATTTATTGGCTTGAATCTGGTCCGATATAGGGGAAGATTATTAAAAGAGTTCTTTGGATATAGGTCCTTGAAATTCCTATTTTCTAAATAAAAATCTATCTAAATTTAAACATTCAAATAAAATCCAAATTTCAAATAGCATACCATGTAGACAAATATATGACCAACTATTACAATACAATTACAACTTATGCCATAGAATCCTAATTTGGTCAATAAATGTTATTACTCATCCTAATTATGATGAGCAATTAAATCCATATGGATATTTTACCTTTCTTGTATCATAAACATTAGCAACATATATAAATTAATTTACCAAATTTAAAAGAGAAAGACAATCTTGTACGGAAAAAATAATATTGTTTGAATTATGTAATTACCTACATACAAATTAATTTACCTACTTATAAAATATTATACTAATAAACCTGCATTTTGAATCATGTAATTACCTACATACAAATATTATACTAATTTACCTACATTTAAATTAATTTACCTACTTATAAAATATTATACTAATTTACCTACATTTAAATTAATTTACCTACTTATTAATATTATACTAATTTACCTATTCCAAAAAAAAAATAAAAAAAATTAGTGATATTAGATAATGTTCGAATGTTGTGGGTTTGTGCTTGTAGGCAATTAAATAAACTTTTAATCTAATGCACATAAATCATGTAGGTAAATTAGATCATTTTGAAAGTAAACTAGACCCTTTAAATTTTTGTTTGATGTAATAGGTAATTAGACTATTTTGTAGGTAAGAATTGTGCGGAACATATAGCTTTTGTTTTGTGTATTAGGGATTGTAATATTAGCCGAAGCTGTTTTAGGTTTATTGTTGTGTTGGTAGGTAAATTAACTTATATATGTAATGAACAAAATTATGAAATTAGTATTATTATTTTTCAATTGGCACGTTTTCAATTTGAAAGTTAATACATTGAATATACAATGAATGGCATGAATTATTTTGTAAAATATATAAAATTAATTAAATGGATATAACAAGTAACTGATCCAAAAACCCCATCCAAGTATTAATAGGGGTAGTTTAGGCATTCGAAAAATACACAATTTGAAAAGTCAAACTTAATTAAAGAATTTGTTTAATTGGAGGGTAGTCAATGGGCTTTATTCAAGAAAATAAAAGGAGATGGGTTTTAGTAGAGGAAAATATAGTTTCAAGGGGTAATATCAAATTTTCAGTTATTAAAATGAACGGATATATTGAGATCTAATAAAATTGCCTAAAGGAAAAAACAAACTCTCTCATTAAGGCTGCACCCCGTCTGAATATGCAGTATGCATGGTGAATTTTGTTAACTTTGATTAGGGATAAGAGTAATGCTAGGAATACTAAATTTTTAAATTAAATTTTGTAAATTAATGATCTGAATGTTGATGATTGGATTATTGAAGTGTAGAATAACGTATTTATTTCCTATTGGTAATACATTTAATTTGCAAATTTAGTTTAAAATTTGGTCTCCCTAATATTATTTTTTTACTTACCTGCGATATGCAGTTTGGATTTTTGTAAGAAGTCATGTCTTTCTTAAAATTTGACAAGAAAATATTTTTACTCAAATTTCTTAATTTTGACCACATTTATTGACATAGTTAATTGTCTTTGGAAACCATCATTTAGAACTTGACTTATACGTTAAAGTCTCCGATTAGTTATTAATCCTTTGATTTCAAGATTTAAGTATCAAATTTGGGCAGGCCTGCTGCGGAAAAAAATTACCAGAAAATTGGGGTTGCTCTATAAAATCTATGGCCCGACCAACAACATTTTGTTGGATAAAGATCTTTTACCGGACGAATTTTTGAGTTGACAGAGCAAAGCTAAACAACATTTAGGGTTTATTTAAAATTTGTACGAGATGAAACAGAGTTGTCGCGCAAGGTTATTATATTCGCCTGGCAAGTTTTTAGCACCAAGAAAAGAAAAAAAAAAAGGTGCGTAATACCTTAAGGTTTGCGCGACAAACTTATGCTTGTCGGCTAGGTGTCCTTTATCTGATGGGCCTCTTCATCGGCCCACGCTTTCACGTCGTTGGTCAAAGGTTCACGATGACGTGTTAAAGATCCACCAAAAAACCCTTTGCTCGACATTGTCCTAGTACATGTCCGACGGGATGGTTCGTCGGGCAAACCCTTATTCTCAAATAGGTATGTGCTTCTTCTTTCTCCTCATTTTTTCTTGTCTTCCTACCCTAGCCACCACCGCTACTTCTGCAAACCCCATGCCCCTCTCTCTTTCTAACACTCACACCTTCTCCTTCATCTCTCCCTCTCACAATTAATTTAAGGTTAGTTTATTTTTATTTGTTGAATAATTTTTTATTTGAATGTGATTAATTAATTTTGATTCTTGTAGGTTTGTGATTGGATTAGAAGTAAATTAAAAGAAAGGTATGTAATTCTCTCTTAATTATAAATTAGTTAGTTAGAATTTGTTTAATTGTGATATATATGTATGTTCAAAATTATGTGCTATGTGAAACTTTGAGTTTGTGTGTTACGCAAATTTAATTTGTGCAGCTTTAGTCTAGAAATCGTGGTGTAAAATTTGTTAAAATTTCATAACCATTTATACGAAATTAATTATGTTGATTAACTTCTTATAATAAATTCGAAAAAAACTTAGACCTGATTGAGATTCAGTTGAATGCGCGTGTAGACGTAGTATGCGACTCTGTGATTTAACTGATTCTTGAACTGTCCGGTTCGGACAGTTTGGGAATGCACTAGTATGTGTTTAGGGTTTGCGGTGAACGTGGCTAAGTTTCATCATGAAAAATTCAGTTGTATCACCATAATGTTCTTCGAGTGCATACTAGATATTTGTTTGTAATATTTACGTCGTGCACTTGGAAACCTAGGGAGAGGCTACCAAATTTTTTACTATAAGAAATAGTCGTGTGAATTGCAAACTGCAACACAGAAAGTGCACTTTGAAATGGGATATGATTATTACTTGAGGCATAAAGTGGTGATGAAGCGTATCAAATTATTATGATGACTAAATTCTCTTAAAACAAACACAATGGACAAAGAGTGGATCAAGTTGCAAGATAGAAGTTGTGACCAATATGTGGATGTGATCGACAACTTTATTCAATTTGCAAGCGAACATATCAGTGCTTAGAGTTGTATGAGGTGTCATTGCATGAAATGTAACAACTATGTTTGGATGACACTGGATGAAGTTCGATATCACTTGTATATGAATATGATAGTATACAACTACTCCAATTAGACTTATCATAGAGAATCACTCATTATAGCGTCAACATCTTTCGGCAGTGAAACAGTTAGGCATGAACCCTCTTCATCTGGCCATGTTGATGGTGACCAAGTGATGGACATATTGAATGATGTTTTCCTTAATGCTTCACTCAATATAGACAAAGAGTCATCCACAGATCCCGAGAGTTAATATAAATTGCTCAAGGAAACTCAACGAGAATGTACTTTGGTTGTGAAGGTTTTTCGTAATAACAATCGTTCTAGAATTTATGCACATGAAAGTAAAGTGTAATATGACCAATCATAACTACGATATATATGATGATGGGGATTGTTAAAAGTATGCTTCCGAAACCAAATGCATTGCTTGTAAATCATTCTGGCTCAAAGAAGATCTTGAAGATCTCGGGTTAGGATATGACAAGATCCATGCATGCACAAACAATTGTGCATTGTTTTACGGTTAATTTGAGAAGTTAGATAATTTTCATAAGTTCAACAAGCCAAGATTTCAAAAGAATAAGATTCCGAACAAGGTGTTATTTTTCACTTAAGCCAAGATTACAGAGATTCATAAGAAGGAACAAGTTGATGATGATGATGTTCTGCAACATCCAACTAATGGCAAATCAAGAAAATGATTTGATAAAATCCATCCATACATTGCTGCAAAGCCAACAAATGTCAGGTTATGACTTGATTCTAACTACTTCAATCCATTTGGAAACTTTTCGAATGAGCACAGCACTTGGCCGGTGGTCATGCTTCTTTATAACTTACTCCTAGAGGTGCATGAATAAATAATTTATGATTACGAGTCTTTTAATAACCAGGCATAGATCACTCAGTGATACTGTTGATGTTTATTTGCGGCCGTTGATTGATGAGTTGATAAATTTATAGACAAAAGATATACGAACGTATGACAAGTCCAATGGGGACATGTTCACTTTGCAAGTAGCAGTTCTGTGGATAATTAATGATTTCCCAGCTTATTGTATGTTGTCGGGACGAAGTACCAAAGGTTATATGGCATGCCCAACATGCAGAAAAGACAAATCATCCTTTTAGCATGCTGGAAAGATATGTTACTTGGCTTACCAAAAATGGCTCCTCTGAGGTCACGAGTGGCGTAACAAGCCTAAACATTTGATTGGAAAACAGAGTATCAACCTAGACCAAGAGAATTATTTAGAGATGAAATATTGTCCAAGTTGAATACGCTCTAATTTGGGGAAGGTTTGAAACCAATGGAAATCTAAATTGGATAAAAAATAGTATACTCTCTGATTTGGAATAGTGGTCAAAATTGAAAATCCGACACATTGCTGACCTCATGCATATTGAGAAGAATGTTTGCGATAATGTGGTGGGAACGACTCTACCTTCGACGAAAAATCAAAGGACACCATGAAGACTCGTATTGGCATGCAAACAATGGGGATAAGATTCAACCTCTGGCCTATGTTAATCCATGGTAAATACAAGAAAAAGAACGCCAAATATACTTTCAAACCCGATGGCAAGAAGGAATTCTTCAAGTGACAGCAAAGTGTGAAATTTCTAGGCAAGTATGCTAGCAATATATCAAAACACGTTAAAATGGACACTGAGACATTGTTGGGTTTAAAGAGTAATGACTATCATGTCTTATTGTAGTGGCTCTTTCCGATTGTTATTTGGCCAATTGGAACCTCGAGGTTGTTGAGACAATGGTATATTTGTCTCATTCTTCTAGCAAATATGTGCTAAAAGGTTGCGAAAGTTGGATGTAGACGAAATGATTGAAGATATTGGGTACATTGTATGTCAACTAGAGCAAAAATAAGTGAAGGGACACTTAAAAATAAAATTTTATAAATGATCAGTTCAGTCATTTACAATTTTCTTATCTAAATTTTTTTATATTGCCTAGAGATTTTCTTATATAATATAAGTGAAATGACACTTAAAAATAAAATTTTCTTCCATTTATATAATGACATGTGGTGTCTCGCTCCTATTTCGGGCACACTGAAAAATTTCTTCATCTTAAGAGTAGTTCCAACTCGTAGGCTAATAATTGCCTACACAATTGGGCAGTAGGCAATTATTGACTCTTGTTTTTTTAACAAACGATAGTATCTGCACTAAGGTGTGGGGAGGTAGACTAAACCTCACACGAGACTCATCATAATGTGGTTCAAATTCATCTTTAGCAAAAATCAAACTTAAGATCTCTCCCTTACAAGTGAAGAGGAGTACCACTAGACTTAGTACTAAGTGGCAGACAATTATTAACTTAGCAAATAGTATTTGTCCAAGTGTATCTTCACTCTGTAAAATAAATTGCTCAAACAATTGGTTTAAAAAATGAAATTAAAAAAAATAAATTATTATTTTATTATTAATCTCTCCTCCTTTCTCTACTTGTTCCCGTCTTCTCCCTCCCCTCCCCGATGAAATCCAATGATCCAAACCGCCCACACTTTTCTCTCCTTACCTCAAACCCTCACTCCACACCCCTTAAAACCCTCATTCCACACTGCCAAAAAATTTCAAATAGACCCCCGCCGACCTCCCCGCACAATCAGTGACCCCAAGGTCCGACAAGTCGGGTTCTTCGCCTCACCTGAACCCATCGCCTCGCCCGAGCCCATCACCTCCTCCTCTCCTCCCGTCTCCGACATCTACCCCTCCGGTAATTTCATGTGGGCTAGAGCTGCTCTAAGTCAGCTATTTTCATCTCTCACACACCATCTATCTACTAGTAGAAACTAGTAATTTCTAAATTCATGTTCATGTAAATTCTCGGCCTACATGCAAGGTCCATGTAGAATTTGGGGGATGAACAGCATCATTAAAAAGAAATGACATGAAAAGAAAACAATAGATAAAGAGGCAACGACAGCAAATAGAGAAGACCGATGTAAATGAAAGCCAAACAAAGAGAAAGAAAACCAAGGGAAATTAAACCACAGAATTTTCCAAAATATTTCTCGCATGAAATTTCTCATTTTCTTCGCTCATCTTGGCAAACGAGGGAGTTAGCTTTTCTACCGTCCAACTCCCGACTTTTCCTTGAATTCTAAATATTTTCCCATCATCCAAACACATGGTAATTAAGCAGAACTATCTAAATAGAAAGCTATTTGTTAAAGTAGATATACATGGGGAGAGTGGGTTTGGCTTTGGACCTATAGAGAACCCTCTTGTTCTTGAATGTCCAGTTCTCAATTGTTATCACCATCTTGCCAGGTTCACTAATATAGAAGGAGTTTCTAACACTTTGTCCCAATCTCTTCCTTTCTTGGAGCAGAATCTTGTATGAGCCTTCATCATCAGGTACAAACTCCTCCTTGTAGTACACATCCCATCCCACCACTGTTAGATCCCACACCATTGTCAATCCACCCTAATCAATCAATTAAGCACACCCAAAATCTGTCAGTCAATCAAGATTATTCAAGCATAAAGCTAGAGACAAACTTTTGGATACCAACTGATGTGAAATACTTTCGTATTTGCTCTGAATAAGTAAGGTTGAGGGCATGCCCGGACGTAAAACTAATGAACCCTTGCCTCATCATGCATCGAACTAAAGAGTATTTTTGTCACTATGACCACCACAAATGTCACATGACGTTACAAGTTTGCTCATGCTATCTATTATCAATATTATACCCCAGGTTTGAGACATCATTAATGTTCAATTACATTATAACACGTGAATTAGTAACATCAAGTAATAGTTTAACTGTCACACTAAAAGATTTCTCCAATTTAAAAGTAGAAAATTGAATTTATGGGAAGCTTAATATATTTGTTGTTTGAAGTAATACCTCAGCAACTGGGATTTCGATGCAGGCATTCGTGCTTGGTTTGACTTTGAGCCTTGATGCTTTGTCCTCTGGTGTGAAATCATCATCTTCCTCTCTTTTGAGGCCACCATACTGAGCTGGGAGTTCTTCTGGTTCTACAAACCTTTTTGGTAAATTTCCAAGCAAATTTGTGAGATAAAAGAACATAAATTAAGCATTCAAACTTTAATTAGTGAAATATTATATATTAATCTCACTTGAGAAGGGTTTTTGTAACATTTGAAGGCCTGGCAAACACGAACTTCTTTTTGGTTCTTTGACTTAGGAGCCTTGATCTGAGCACATGCACCACATAATACCAAAGTGGAGCATTTATCACAATCTGCAAATTAATCAACCAACAACATTTGTACAAATATTTCAGCGTGATCATCACATCGTAACATATTCAATCTAGCCCATAACCTCAAATTTGAAAGTACTACTTACATTCTTTTGGATGAGCTCTGGATAGTTTTCTTGGAGCAAAACTAGGGTTTTGTTGCTAAGAGAACGAAGCTCCTTCATGTCCGGCCCCGGCGAGTGCTTCAAATCGGTAACGTGAACCATAGAATCCACTCCTCTGTCCTTGAAGCTAAGTTTTTGAATTCCCCTTTCCATAAACTGAACCCTCCACCTCAAAAACTCTTGCCGTTTCTCCTCAGAACCAAAAGTCCTATTGTACAATTCCCTATCTCTAAAGGGCCCATAAAATGTATAACACAAAGGGTGCCCTTCCTTGTCCACACTATTCAAAAACACAACAGTCTTAAGATCACACCCCAACTCCTCCTCCAGAATCTCATCCGTTTTGTATTCTCTTCGCCATTTCAGCATCCTTTGCAGCATCTCGAACGCTTCGAGGACCTTGTAGTCTTTCGCTCTCAAGAACTTGAGCAGCACAATGTCGGTGCCTTGGTGGCCTTTGCTAGGGAGTAAGGGCACCCCCCAAAGAGTGATCTCCCTTGGCTCCTTCTCCCGTCTAAAACTCTCGTCCGATCCAAGCTTCTTGTTGGGTTTTCCCAACAGATAATTCCCAAGAATTGCATCCTCAACCCTGCACCTCAATTCCATCAAGGCTCTCTGCCTTTTCTTCTTCTTGTTCTTGAATTCGACAGACGGTGAAGTTACATTTCCACCCTCCCTTTCTACATCACTTTCTTGATCTTCACTTGGGCTATTTTTGCTTCCTTCTTCTTGGGTGCTTTCATCCTCAGTTTCTTCGACACGATCATCCTCGACATTCTCTAATGGTGTCTCCTCCTCCTTTTTCTTCTCCGTCATCGTGCTTTCAGGTTCCCGGTGGTGCCAGAGTTTCGGTGCACACAGCTCTCTGGCAGCTATTTCCAGAGGACTAATTTTTGGTGGTGAGAGGATTCAATGGTGGAGAATTGAGATCGACATGGAGACACAAAAATTTGCAAAGCTTTCTTCTTTTTTTCCCTTTCCTTTTTTCTATCACCTCAAACTCCAAAGCTCTGTTGGAATCTTGTATGCCTATGAAGATGAAAACAACCGTGAGTTACCCTTGGCGCCAAATTTAGATTGTGTGATGAATTTTTTTTTTTTTTTTTTTTTTTTGAAATGAAAAGAATAAAATAAAATAATCATCACACAATCTAAATTTGGCATGCGATAAGATATTTAGAAAGACATTTTTATAACCAGTCGCTAATTCGTTGATGATAAATCACAATGTATTTATAATTTTGTATCATCTTAAATTCGATAATAAAATTCAGAAAAATAAAATTTGATAATAAAAACTGCATACCGCTAGATCAACCGATTATGTGCGAAGCAATCTACAATTAGATTGGTCCAAAATTGTTTTGGATTGTTTTAACATGTGGCAGGCTGGCATGGATACTAGTGGCTCTTAATGAATGGAAGATTTAGGTGGGGGAAATACAAAAGATCTTTCCTTTTCTTTTTCTTTTTCTTTTTTTTGACTCAAACTTAGTTTTCAGTTTTCTTTAAGGGATTTAAGTTAATAAGTTGGCTCTGTTTTATTAAGAAGCAAAACAAGAAAGAACAGAAGAAAAAAAATTGAGAAATTTACGTTTTTTTATTATGCATCAGAGTATAGTCTATACTTGAATTTAGACAGTTAAATTTTTGTGACTTTTAGATCAAATAAAAAAAAGATCTTTGACCCTTCATTATCAATGCAATACACCAAAACATAGTAATGGTTTTAAATTTTCCTAAGAGAAATGCTAAAAGAACTCTCTCAAAATGGGACTCTCCATGAACTCTCTGACACCTCACAGTTTTACATTTTTGTACCAACATTATAAAATATTATGTAAAAAGACATGATTAGTTAATCTCTCAACCCCTTCCACATAATTCTGCAACTCTGTTGGGGACTGGTTTAATAATTTGTTGGTGTATGCCTAAATTGGCCAACATTTGGGCAACTAACATGGTACTTGACAGATTGCCAATGACTACTTTTCACCAACCACAACGTGTTACTTGACTCATTCTCCAAGTCGTCACTATTCCAAGCCTCCCAAGTTATCTTATATTCCCACGCACTTTCTAGTGCTTTACATATACGCTCCAAGGTTTTCTCCAAACCCTCAAAAAGACACTTTCAAATGGTTTTCCAAAAACATATTGGTGTGAACTTGTGATTATGACAACTTTCAACAGAAGCGCTTATGAGCAGACTTGCTTTCTACGTAAATATTCCTAAGCAGATCCTAATACGGTCAATCTCAAGACGACCACACTTTGGAGATTCATTGGTCTTATACACTCCCCTCTTTCTTTCCGGCCATTTAGCGGAAACATATTAAAAAACAATCAAGGGACAAAATTAAGAGTGCAAGAGGTAAAAAGAAAATTGTAAAAAACCACTCCCTAAAAGTAAAAGAACAGTAAATAATGTAAAGCTTATTGCTTTGTGAAAAAGTACAACATTATCGGTCTCCAAATCAAACAGAACCAAAAGGGGTGAATTTTACATGCCTAACACAGAAGATCTATTTGCTGAATTTCATGCCTAATTATAAAAGAACAATCCAACAGCTACACAAATCTTACAACCTTTATGCACAGCAATTCCGTGAAATGTGAGCGAAACAATCCGTATCTACATCATAAGCATGGTTATCTAGCTGAAGCCTGTGGTAGCTGTATCACGACTCCCGATACTTGGTCAGGTCAAATGTCAGAGTTTCCGAACAGCTGCAATAACACAAACACGGTTACTGCATTACTAAACCGTATAAAGTGAAATGTGAAAATTTATTGGTGTTCCTAGTATCGTGTGAAGCTCACCTCCTTTCGCAGTCCCTGTAAACCCCAACTAAAGCATCAGCCTTGTCGTAGAAGCTATCTTTTAGAGATATTACAATGCTCTGGAAACCACTGCCTCCCTCATCATCTTGGTTAGCCCTGGCTCCTTCACGTGCCTTTGAACGGATGAATCCAGCAACCTTAGCAACATTCAAGTTATCTAGTGCAGCATCGACTTCGTCCAGTATGAAAAACGGTGAAGGCCTAAAACTGAACCCATGTATAAGAGGAAATACAACTATTAATATACATCACTATTGTGGCAATCTCCATATACACAAAGTTCCACCTGAAACTTTCATGTGTGATAGCCTGTAAAACTTAAAAGGTAAAAACTCTTCCATTGGTAAAGAGTTAAGAGACACACCTGTGTATGGAAAAGAGTAAAGCCAATGCTGCAACAGTTTTCTCGCCGCCAGATAGTTGTTCCATATCACGGAAGCGCTTCGTTGGGGGCATAGCAGTGTACTTAATGCCATGTAAAAACGGATCATCTTCATTTTCCAAATTTAAATATGCCGTCCCACCCAGTGGATGTGTGTTGCTCTTCGTCAGTTGTTTGTATATTTTATCAATGTTACTGGAAATATGTTGGAAGGCATCCATAAACAACTCGTACCTGCATTATAATGAAAAACCACAGAACATTTGGTTTGCAGGAGATCAGCATAAAACAATACAATGCTTTTCAAAGGTGGAAAATTAAAAATTTCTCTTTCTAGTTCTTATCCTATAGAAAACGTCTATTTAACACAGCAGAATTCCATGCCAAGCATCTTTAATAGTGTAGAAGCAATTAATACCTCTTCTGCTTAACTGAGTTAAACATATCAGCTTTTTCCTTCTCTTCTATTCTAGCCACTTCAAACTCTTCAGTTACAGCTCTTTCCTTTTCTTTTATTGCCTCATATTGGTCCAGGGCCTTCAAATTTGGAGCTGTTTTTTCAATTTCTGAAATTACGGCATCCATTTTTTGCTTAAATTCCACCTCAAGCTTCTCCCGTTCAGAAGGCCTTCTGTCCCGCATGTGAGACTTGTTTAACTGACTAAAATCGAAAACTGGGCCCATTAAGGAGGAATCAATCTCCATTGGGTCTGAGATGATGGGAAGGTTTATATGTTCTAATTCACATTTCTCTACTATTTCCTGCTTCTGTGACATCAGCTGCTCAATCTGTGACTCCTGTAAGGTGAGAAAAACACATGTAGGCCTTTTAAATTTACCTAGAACAAGGTACACAACTGGTGAAAAGAGAACTGACTCCAACCTTAGTGTGTATCTGTCGATTAAGTTTGGATAAACTTGTTGTAGCTGTAGAACCCCGCTTGTTCCATTCTTGGATTTCCTTCTCACACCCTTCTGACTTGGATTTCCATTCTAACGAATGGGAAGAGACATATTAAAATAAAAAATAAAAAATAAATGAAGAATGAAGAATAAATTGGCTTGCTGACTAGTTTGAATAACTTAAGCACTAAATCTCGAGCTGATTGAATAGAAGCTTCAAAATTTCATTTCTTGGAAAACAATCCCATTTCATACCTTGTATTTCTTCCTTCCACCGATCGATCTCACCAGAAGCTTTTTCTGCTGCTGACTTGGCTGCAGCCTCTTCCTTCTGAACCCGTTCTAAAGCTTTTTTAAATTTACTAATAGAATCTTGGAGTTCATTAATTCGTGATTCCATGTCCCGGTTTTGCTCATACTCTAACCTGAAAGCAAACGAAAATAAAAGCATTGCATCACATAATCTGAGTGAGTGCCACAGCTGCCATACAACTAGTAATCAGAAATGAAGAACCTGTTTTGATTCCGAACAGATATAGGAAACGAAGAAAATGAAACTCTTAACAGGTTTAAATTGACATCTAAGTTGATATTTGCATTTATTGACTTGAGAGAGAAATGGAGGGGGAGGCAAGGACGTACTGGTATTTCAACTTTGACAGCTGGCTACTCAAACTAAGCCTCTCTTCTGCCATATATTGGGAAGCCTTGAGTTGATTTTCCTCATACTCACGGATGTTTGCCACCCCAACAGATTTACTAAAATCTTTGTAGATTCTGTCAACAATTTCATTTATCCTCTTCTCAAGCTTATTGATTTCCTTGCTCCGCTTATCTACAGCTTGCTTTAACTGCAAGAAAATTTGAAAACAGCTGAAACTACAGGCTTGAATTCAAATATTGCAAGAAACTAGACAAAGAGCCTTGTCGTCATAAAAATCTAAACAAAAAACCTTAAGAAGTTCAGGACTGCTGCGATCAATCTCTTCTTTTATATTCTGCTTTTCCCGTGCCAAGGTTGCGAGTTTGTCCTTAATGCTTTTCTGCAACAAAAATTATCTTATTTGTCCATCCGAGAAAAATAATAATTGCATAAGACAAAATCAAGAAATAACAATGTTATTTTGCAGTGCATGCAGTCCACCCCCACCCCAACCCACCCACCCAAAAACATAAAATAAAGGGGTAATTGACCTTAGATGGAGAGAAAAATTAGGATTGAGTGAGGTCAATAAAGAGATATATTAAGGACGGGTATGGACCTTAGATGGAGAGAAGAATTGTTTTTATTGACCTTAATTAATGAGGATAATTGATTCAATTGATCTATGCTAGAAAGTGGAATGACCATTGACCTATGCCGAAATATAAAATGATCTATTGACCAAAACCGGATTTCCTACAAAATAAAACCTTACTTATTTCAAGTATTTGAAACTGGCCACACCTTTCCACAATTCCATATCTAAAAATCATATTATTTTTCAAATCACATACAATAACACATAGCAACAGCTCTAAT